GGCCTTCTCAGAAGGCGGCGGGACTTCTCAGAAGCCCTCCCACCTTCTGAGAAGTTTTTTCAGTTTTCGGGGAAGGCCCAGGAAACTTCTCAGAAGGCTGCGGAACTTCCGAGACTTTTGAGAAGGCCCGCCCCATCTCACTTCCACCCCTCGCTCGCCGCCGACATGTACATAGATGTGATGTGCATTCTCAATCCCCCCGGGATCACTTCAGGTTCTGGATCGTCTCTTTGGCCCGCTGCTCCTTCTCGTGGGAGGTCTCGACCATCTTCCAGGCCCGCTCGATCTCCTCGCCGTCTCCCGTTCCGAGAAGAGCGCAAAATGGAACCCAGTTCCCATGTACACGTCGTTCATTTCTAATCGTGCTAATTTCTAAGTGTGCTCGTTCCTGCCCCCCTGGTGGCCAGGAAGAGGCCCAGGATAGAACACTTAGAAATGAAAGGATCTTCCCCCCCCCCCCCCAGCAAAATCTAAGAACTGTCGAATACTTAGAAATGAGCATTGTGTATGTTTGCATGCGTTTCCTGCATCTGTGTGGCACCAAACGAGGACAGGAATACTGGTATATATATATATAGAGAGAGAGAGAGAGAAAGAGAGACGGACAGACAGAGAGATGGCCCCCAATATAGCCTCCCGTATGTTGCACAAGAGGGGCAACCGAGGCATGAACCACCTGGTGTTAGAAGAGAGCCGAGGGAGGGAGAGAGGGAAAACTGCAACTATGCACGAGCCCAATTCTGAAATGCTACACATCAGCGCCAGCCGCCATACTACGCATATGCGTCTCTGCGCGCTCATGACACGCCTGTGCGCGATATTGAATGCATCTGGTCTAAGCATGTCAAAAACCCTGAGCTCCGCGTTGGCCCACCTTTCTCCCAGTTGAAGCCGACGTTAATTTAAGTCACGCTGTAATGCATTGCTTGCAACAGGAATGCTCCATGAGGCTACCAGCGAAGGCAGTAGCTACATGCTCACATCCTGCACGCTGTATACAAGAACGTGCGCACGTGTAGATATGTACATCTATATATGTATATATACGCCTGTTGGTCACTCGGGGTGGCCATTTGCGTGCTACTGAGAAGCCAAGCGTACAATGATACATCACGCCACGCGTGCAACTCAAGGCAGGAGCCCAGCTGACGCAGCCCCCTTCTAGAGCGATTTGCATTGAAACCATGAGTTGGTCGGAATGACCTGATGTCAGCAGCAAGACAATGCCAGTGATCGCCGCCGTGTAGCAAGGTACCCAAAGCGGTATCACATATGTCGGTGCATACTGAAACCATGGCGGCGATCCAAACCTGATGAGCGTATCCTGGCCAACTGTTACCTGCGCCCATGTTTACCGGCGGGGCCGCCCTCTTCTAACTCGCGTTGGTTTCTGTGCCCCTTCCCGCGAAGAAAAGTGGAGGAGCGAGGGAAAGAGAGATAGAGACAGACAGACAGAGACAGAGGAAGAGAAGAGGAGGATGATGAGGAGGATAAGGGTCCAGTAACCCAGGCCTCCGACGCCTTTTTCCTTTTCCACGACGTGCGCACGCGCTCTTCTCTGGACCCTAGCCGCGGGTCTGGTTGCTCGTCGGGTGTTGTTTTCTGGTGGCCCCAGCGGCCCAAAGGTGGCCTCCAGAGGCCGATATGGTGAGAACGCGCAACTCATGTTTTTCGCTACGCCAGGAAGTCTAGGCAGGCAGATGGAAGTGCCACAGGGATCACCACAAAACGGCCCGACGCATTGTTGTTGGGGCTCTTTCTTGCACTCGGTCGCCCGTCAAATCCGACCCCCCCCCCTCGTCCTCAACGCGCCGCCCCTGCCTGTCGACCCACGAAAAATGTCAGTAGGCTGGGCTGAGCGAGTCGCTTACGACTGCCTGTCTGTCTACGACCACTTCGCAGTTGCACGGTTGGAAGTCTGGCGGTTTCCATCACGCGGCTCTTACTGTAGCGACGCGCACATCAGCATTTTAATTGCCAAACGTTTACAGGAACTGAATGCTGGTCGCTTTCAAAACGCAGCCCGCGCCTCAATACCGCGCGCATTCGTTCTAAAGGCTCCAGGGCTAATGAAGATGGCCGTCGGTGCATGTTCAAACTGGGGGTATCGCTCGACTTTCTCAAATTCTACGTCCCGAAGGTTCTTCTCGCGCAACAATTACGCGGATGGAGGCCAGGTCCTCTTCCAAAACAGAACTCTTGCATGAGAGTCCCGCACACTTGGGGACAACCACTTTGAAATCGCAAACAATTTTAGCGGGTGGAGAGCAGATCCTCCAAAACACGGGGTGCCGCGTTCACCTGCGCACCCGTAAAAAAATCTGTGAAAGCTGAGGGGCAAGCCCGTCAACAACCTTAAGACCACCCCTACGCTTTCATTATACCTCCTGTGTCCCCTCTGCTAGAAGGACGAGTCGATACTTGCAATCATGGATCTCGCTTGAGCGGAAGGCCCACCAGGCGCTCGTCATTCAGGGGGGGGGGCTTCACACAGTGGCAGGGAACACCTGTAGGGAGTCATGACGGGGCTACTCAGGGCAAGAGGGTGCCTTGCAGCACCGTGAATGCATATTGAGTCTACGTTGACCCTCCTCCGTCCCCTCCTCCCCAAAAGCCTGCAGAGGGCCTGAAGAGGACCAGAGACTGCCACACAACTAAATCATCCTCATCCCCTTCTCCTACACCCCTGGTGTTGCTGAGGGCGCCGCGTGTGTGAAGGACCCGTCAGTTGAGTGTTTCAGCCGCTCGCGTTCCTTACAGGTGTGTCTCGCCAAAAACAGCTGTAAACGCTAGGAGACACGGCATCGCACGGGAGATGGCGCAAATATCCTGTCGGGAATCGCCTTAACCCATTGAAGAAGCTTTAATCGTAAAGCTCACGGAAGCCTGAAGCGAGAGCACTGTTTTGAAAACAAATCCGCCCTCCATCCGTCTAACTGCTGCACAATTTGGAACTCCAGGTCGTAGGAGGTGGGCAAGTCTCAAGCTAGACCGCATCTTGAAAACAGATAGGCCTTCATCCAACTGCTCTGTTTTTAAAACGCCTGTACTCGGCGCTTCGGTGAAAACCGCATGTTGGAAACCACTGGCCCCATCTGCGTAATCAGTTGGACCTTCTGAATCCAGAATCGAATCGGAATGGGGTCTCAAACGAGCAGGCCTGGCCTACGGGACCGCCTGGTGGGGCGACAGACCCATGTTCCCATGTTGTTGAAAAGGAAACGGGGTAGAGGAGGGAGGGAAGAAGGATGAAGACGAGCACATGGCGGGGTGCCCAGGGAGGAGAAGTTGGCGCAAGAGCAGCAGGAGGAAGAGGAGGCGGACAATGAACACGGGGGTGGCCCTGGAAGTTTCACGAAGCTACCCGGTGCCATCTCGAGGGCATGACTCTTGGGGCGAACTTCGGCTCCCGAGGAAGGGCCTTCGAAAACGAGAGCGAGCACAAACGCCATGATCGAATCTCGAGGAGTCGACGACGTCCAATGAAAGTCAGTAGCACGGAAACGAAATCCGAACTCTAGAACATTGAAACCAAACAGCTGAACTCTCATCCAGGGCTATCGAGTCCCTCCCGCCACCCCCGCTTTGGCCCCCCTCCGCCGTGCCGCTGGTGACCGACGGTCTGATCGACGAGCGCCCTCTGGCAGCGCCCCCAATCACCACGCGCCCGTAGCTGGGCCGACCGCTGGGCAGCACATTGATGCTAAGGCCATCGATCTCCTCTCTCCTCCCCTGCCATGCCCCCTCTAGAGATCCGGCGCTGCGCACAAAACTTGCAACATGGCAAAACGACCAATGCCCCGAGGCCCTATAGGCCTCATCCGAATCCGCGGCATCTTTGGAGCCGGCTTCATCCGTGGCCCTGGGGCCCGAAACCGAATGAACACCCTCGCCCGGCCCGTACATCCGATGCCGTGATCAATGCACAGCGTGGCCCGTCCGCGGCGGGCTCCGACGATACAAAACCACAGACGTAAAAACGGTGAAACAGAGAAGCGTTGTTTTAGCGTTTCGGCTATCTGGTTAGAACGCTGCCAACATGCTTCCCACGATGCCGAACATGAACACACAAAACAAAACGCCCAGGGAGGGCATATTCAAGATAAGCATAGGTGATCTGGCGCTCGGACAAGGCAGGCGGACGAGGAGCGCGAACGAAGAGCGTGAAGTTCGAGGGGTAAATTAGCAGGGGGACAGTATACAAGCGTCGAGGAGGAAGACAAGGGACGGGAGGCGCATGGCGCAAGCATGGGATGATCTTTTTCCAGCGCAAGAAACCATGAGCAAGCATCCCCGATGTTCGAAACGCACACGTGGAAGTGCCGTCACGGATCAAGCTAAAGTTGAGATTAAACAGTGAGGGAGGAAGATGCAATGGGGAGGGAGGGAGATCGAGGGAGATGGAGGAGGGAGGGAGGGAGAACGAGGGAGAAGAACGAGGGGAGATTGAATGGGGAGGGAGGGAGGGAGAACGAGGAGAGGGAGACATGGCCGGGAGATTGAGAGTCGGGAGGGAGAATCCGAGGGGAGGCAGCAAGAGGGGGATTCATTGTGACCTTCGATGTCGCCTTTCGTGTCACGACGCGGGCTCCCAGAACTCTCGAGCACCCATGTCGAGACTCCTCCTCCTCCTCCTCCTCCTCCTCCTCCTCCTCCTCCTCCTCCTCCTCGTCCATCCCGAGGGCCACTTCTTACGTCGTTCCCCTCGTGGCCCCCCCCCCCCACGGCCCCCAAAAGCCACACCTTCGCGGGAGAACGAGCTGCAGCCGTGCCTCCTGCCTGGGGCGCCGGGAGGCCCGTCGTGGAGCGAAGGGAGCCGGCACGATCGCAGCGGCTGCCGGCGAGCACAGCTCCCTTCACGCTCCGCCTGTAGACCCTGCGAAATGCTTAAGAAATCATGGGCTAAGAAATTCATAGTCTCAGAATTTGAATAAAAGCCCAGAACCTCGATCAAAATCTTGGGATTTACATTGAAAAGTTAAGAATAATCGAGACTCTGGCCGAAAACTTAGGTTTTCTTAAGCATCGCCTAAGGTGTAGACCCCGGTGCAAGCCGTTCGCCGGTTGGCAGAATCTGCAAGCTCGAGCCTGTTTTTTTTTAAAGACTCTGGCAAGTTTACTTGCACGGACGGGGGGGGGGCTGAGCCCGAAGCAAGCCGCAAACGACTTGCACGCTCGGGGGGCGCGGAAATCACGCAAGTCGAAAGGCACTTGCACGCTAGCATTCGCTTGAAGAGGGGCGAGGGGGGGGGGGGGGGGGGGGGGGGGGCGAACGCCATGCAAGTAAACTTGCCTGAATCCACAAAAAAACAGGCGCCTTGCCACCTCCCCCCCACGTGCCTGCGCCGCCGGCAAGGAGAAAAAGCGCAGCGGGCGCGCTTCACGACGGCAGATCTGCAGCAGGAGCCCCTGCGCCGAAGGACTGCTGGATTGGCCCCGGGACGCCGGTGGGTGAATCTCATGGGCTTAGCCGCCCCGATACGCAACACGCAACACGTAGCGTATTGATACGGAGTTCAACACGTATCCTGAAGACGTGGGTGAGACGCAAGACTTTCCCCAAGACGTGGGCCAATACGTGGAGCCAAGACGCGACGCATTGGCACGGACGCCTCGAGTACGGTGCGTGTGGCGTATCAAAACGCGCGTATCGAGGCAGCTGCGCTCATGGACTTTCGGGGGAGGCCTGGGCGGCTTCGCGGCAGGCCGGATGCCTTCCGGGCCCTCCGCGGAGGCCGGCATGCCCTCTGCAGCCAGCCCTTTCGCACGGGGAGAGGCGGCGAGGCGGCGGCGGGCGCCCGCCGCGCGAGGGCCTGGAGATGCCAGCCAGCGCACGAGGTGGCGCAGGAACACCAACCGTCCGTTGTCGGATGAGTGAGCATCGCCGACGTTCGAGACGCACACCTGGAAGTGCCGTCAGGGATCAGGCACGACGGGAGGTTGCATGGGGAGGGAGGGAGGGGAGGGGCACGGGATGGGGAGGGAGGAAGAGCGCGGGAGATGGCGCAGGGAGGGAGGGAGAACGAGGGAGGGAGAACGAGGCGAGATGGAATGGGGAGGGAGAGGAAGGGAGAACGAGGGGAGGGAGGGAGAACGGGGGGAGGGAGGGAGGGAGATGGCGGAGGGAGGGGGAGGGAGACCGAGGGAGGGAGAACGGGAGGGAGGGGAGGGAGAGCGAGGGGAGGGACTACGCCGCTGGAGTGAAGCGCGGCGGCTCTCGCGAAGGGGTGCTTGCCCGGGGCCGCCCCGCGGCCGCTCCCCGTGCGCTGGGGCTGTGCGCTGCCCCCCCCCCCCCCGGCTTCTCGCACGTTGAGGCCGCCACGTCCCGTGGCCGACTCGCCATGGCCGCCTCCTCCTCCTCCTCCTCCTCCTCCTCCTCCTCCCTCCTCCTCCCTCCTCCGCCTCCTCCCTCCCGCCTCCTTCCTCCTCCTCCCCTCCTCCTCCTCCTCCTCCCGCCTCCTCCTTCCTCCACTTTTCCCCCTCCCCCTCCCCCCCCCCCCCCCCATCTCCCCCACCCCCTGCCCCCTCGACCTCCCCCTTACCTCCTCCGCCTCCTCCGCCATCCTCCTCGCCTCATCCTCTTGCTCCGCCTCCCATCCTCCGCCCTCCCCCTCCCCTCCCCCGCCTCCTTCCCCCTCCTCGCACACTCCTCCCCCCCCCCATCCCCCCCCTCGGGCCCCCTCCCCTTTGATCACTGTTCCCTATATCACCTGTTTCCGATTAGTATAAACAACTCCCCACCCCAGGGCGATTGGGAGCCACCAGAGTCAATGAGGGGCACCCCCTCCCACCATCCCTTGTTTTAGCAAAAAAAAACAATACAAAACACACTCTGCCTCCAAATTCGGAGCATGCGCAGCCAACCCGATGCGGCCTCCCCCCACCATCCCGGTCAAAAAACAATACAGAGTACACTTGGCGGCGGCGGCGGCGGCTGCGGCGGCTGTGGCGGGGGCAGTGGCTGCGGCGGCTGCGGCAGTGGCGGCGGCGGTGGCGGCGGCGGCGGCGGCGGCGGCGGCAACGGTGGCGGCAGGGCTGCGGCGGCAGCGGCTGCGGCGGCGGCGATTCGGCAGCGCGGCGGCGGCGGCGGCGGCGGCGGCGGCGGCGATTCGGCAGCGGGGGGCGGACGGCGGCGGCGGCGGCGGTGGACGGCTGCGGCGGGCGGCGCGGCGGCGGCGGCGCGGCGGCGACGGTCGGCGCCGGCGGCGGAGGCGGCGGCGGCGGCGGATTCGCCCCCAGTAGCTACCCAGCCAAAGCCGACTGCTGAATATGCTGCGGCTCGGGCCAGGCTCGAGTGCTACATATGTGTTGAGAGGGCGGGTGGGAGTGAGCGAGACGGCTTGCGTGCGGTGAGGGAGTCTTGACCCTCCCCCTTACCCTCCCCCTCGCCCTCCTCCTCCTCCTCGTCCTCCTCCTCCTCCTCCTTCTCGTGCGCTGGCCTGCGTTTTTCCACATCTGCAGAGAGCTCCCCCCGCCGCCCGGGGGGCGAAGGGCCCCCTCCTGGCGCGTAAGGGGCATGCCCAACCATCACACTCGACAAATTAAAATACCCCTCCAAATATCCCCAAATTGACAGAAATAATGAAAAAAGTCGTCCCCATACTATTTTTTGGCTATTTTTGAATACTCCCCCTGTAGAGGAACAGGCCAAGCTTGAGGCCACGGATGCGGACCAGGTCCACCACTTGGGCGCGCTGCGGGCGTTTATTTGCTGCGTCGGCGGCCAGGCAGGGCAGCCGCGCTGGCGGAGGGCCGCCTGCACGGGGGCACCTCGTGCGCTGGCCGCCCCGTGCGCTGGCTGGCGTCGTCCGCAGCTGCAGACGGGTCCCCGCCGCCCAGGAGCGGGGGCCACTCCTCGGGCGTGAGGGGCATTACCGATGTCCCGTCGGTCGGCAGAACCAGAGAGAGGCGTGAAGCAGGAAAGCGCTGAAAACAGATTGGGTTCCGTGCGCCCCCCTGGGAGGACGGAACAGGGGAAGCCACTCGATCCTTGAAGTAGGAAGGCGCTATGAGTAGCTCGGAGTATGGACATTCAAAAATACCTACTTTCAACGACCGAAGTACATCAAGGGGCGTAAGGGGCATGCCCGATGAATTAGGAAAATCCTGGAAGCCTCGCGCGGCAACTTGAGACCCGATGCACGTCGGATCCACGTCGGACTTACGTCGGGTTCACGCCGGACCACGTCGGAATTGAGTCGGATGTACCTCGGACTGACGCCGGAGCATCGCCGCGCGAGCGTCGACCCATCGCTTACGGAGCTGACGTGTGGACTAAATGATACAACTACTACGCGCCGCGCGAGGCCTCCCGGAGTTCCCCCATACATAAGTGTTTCCTGTTCGGCCGCACGCGCCAAACAAGCCCGTGACCGACCACCGCCGCCCATCACTGTCAAGCATCACCATGCCGTGCACACGCGTGGGTCTGACAGGTGCGTGTGCTGCAAGAGCTGCTGTCAAAGAACTCAATGCGAGGCCACACGCGCCCTCCCCCCTCGCGCGCACGCCCAAATCATATCAATTGGTTGGAGCTCCAATGTCCGAACCAGAGCTGCGACAAACTGTTGGAAAGCCTGCTACTGCTACGAGAACGCAGAGGTTTAAGGGCCACTGAGGGCGCGCACCTGTTCAGACCGAACAAGAACATATGACATCATGTTGCGCTATGCTGTCAAACGAAACCATGCGGGCCACACGCGCGCTTGCCGCATCGATGCAGGGATCATCGCGTGCCCTCCAATTTGGGGAAACGTACCATGCGGGCCGCACAAGCTCGGCCCCGCACGCACATGCCAAACGTCAGTCACAAGAAATGGACTGCAGCAGCGTAACGTCGACCATCTCCAAACACAAGCGAAACAGATCAAGATCGATTGCCCATTGGCAAGAACGGGAACAAGCTCTGCACGCGCACCTCCTTTTCCTCGCTAGCCACGTCGTCACGATCGCAAGCGTCATCCTCCCTTCCTTTTTGTGCAAGAGCCATGGCACACGTGCCACTTGTATCGGTGTGATTGTTGTTGTTGTTGTTGTTGTTGTTGTTGTTTATCCTTTTCGAGACAATAATTAATGTTGGTTTCTGGAAACGGTTCCGCGCGCTCTCGCCTCGACGCTGGCTGCAATTCCTCTGAGAACGAGGCTCCCGCTCGAGCGCGGGCTTGATTGTACATGTGTGTCCTTTGAGGCCTGGCTACAACCACAACGGCTCCCGCTCGATACGTCCTCACAATTTACCCCGAACCACTGAACTCAGGAACGGCGCTCTCGCTTGAAACTTCCTCGCAATTCAACCACGTTGGCGGAGGCCCAGCCACGACGACACGGGCTTTTACTTGATACGCCCTCACGATTTACTCCGAGAGCCCTTGGCCAGGAAGGCCCCCGAACTCAGGAACGGCGCTCTCGCTCGAGATTTTCTGGCGACTCAATCAAATTAGTGGAGGCCCAACTACAACGACAAGGGATCTCGTTCGATACTTCCTCCAGGTGTATTCCCAGAGGTCCTGGCCAGAGAGGCCCTCGAACTCAACAGTGGCGCTCTCGCTCGAGACTTTCTGGTAGTCAAGTTGGTGGAGGCCCAGACACGGCGACAAGGGCTGCCGTTCGAAAATTATCCAGATGTATTCCGAGAGCCCTTGGCCAGAAACGCCCCCGAACTCAGGAACGGCGCTCTCGCTCGAGAGTACCTCGCACTTGCGTCAGTGGCCGGCAGGGAAGATATCCCCCCCGAAAGGGGGCGCGATCGAACACGAAGTGGGCGGGTATTAGGGGTTGGGGTATACAGAATGCAAGGCGCGCGTGCCAGTAAAAGCGGTCAGTCTTAAAAAGATTGTTGTTGTTGTTGTTGGTATTGTAATTGCTTTTCGTTTGCCTGCTTATTTGATTGTTTGTTTGTGTGTTGTCGTCGTCCCGCCCGCGACCCGGCCGCGACCCACCCGCCACTCACCCACGACCCACCCCGCGACTCACCCGCGACCAACCCGCGACCCAACCGCGACCCAGCACGCGACCCGCCCGCGACCTACCCGCGACCCACCCGCGACCCAACGCGCGACTCGCCAGCGACCCGCCCGCGACCAACCCCGCGCCCCACGCCCGACCAACCCGCAACCCATCCGCAATCCACCCCCGACTCACCCGCGACTCACCCCCCACGACCCACCCGCGACTCGCCCACGACCCGCCCGCGACCCACCCCGCGCCCCACCCACGACCCACCCCGCGACCCACCCGCGACCCAACCGCGACCCACCCGCGACTCACCCCGCGACTCACCCGTGATCTACCCGCGACCCAACCGCGACGCCACCCGCGACCCGCCTCGCGACCCACCCGCGACCCACGCGCGACCCACCCGCACCCCACCCGCGACCCACCCGCGACACACCCGCAACCCACCCGCGACCCACCCCGCGACCCACCCTACCCGCGACTCGCCCGCGACCCACCCCGTCGCGCCCGCCCCCTCACTCTAATCCGCAACTGCGGGGTGCTATATACTAGCGACATACATATGCACACTATCTATGTGTATGTATATGCATATAGATATGTATTCCAGCGGGGTCGTTCAGGCTGGGGGCCAGGTGAGTGTTGCAAAACAGTTGCGGGTGAGCGAGTGGTGTATTTGTCAGAGCGCTGGATGCGGCGAACCGAAATCGTCACATCATCAGTTTTAAATGTTTCACCACGTTTGTTGCAACTGGCGGCAATATCGATCCCCATGTTGAGGCTGGGTCTACTGCTCACCTTCGCTGTTCCGTTCTTTGTCCTACGCAACATTCCATTCCACTAAATGAAGCCATACACCTTGGGCCAATCCGAATCATCGACGCCTACTCAGCCCTGCAAAACGAACATGGATGTGCGGAACAATCGCTGTGATCCGCGTTGGTGATGCTCAATGACTGTGTATCAGCGAATCGTGTGTGGCCACTCGACTGCGCACAGCGTCGCCATTGCCGTTCCTTTATGGTCCTGTCGTCATAAATGCGATCCGCAACGTTTGATTCGCGCGTCGCGGCGGTGGCCCCATGCGACACGCTGTGCCGTGCAAGTGGATTTCGTGTCGCGGGAGGCTGGGAATGGTTCGGGGCGCTGGCGCCTTGGGTCTGGAACGTGACTGGCGTGTCGCGCCGAAGCGCGGTGGGCCAGAACAGGCGAAGCGACATGCTGACCAAAAGTTCCCGACCGCATCACCCGCCGACGCCCAAGAGTCACCGATCTGCACGGGAAACGCCCGCATGTCAGGAGGTCGGCTGCGGTGTGCGAGCAGGTCCCGGCGGACAACGGCACTCACGGCCTCCTGAGTCTTGCCAGAAGGCTACGGATGAGACCTGAAACCAAGTCCCCAGGGATAGGTTCGAGAGATGCAGGGCACACGCCGTGAACAAGTCAGAACGTAAGGGGGCTCGACCCCCCTGATCCAACTCCACCCCTGCTCCTCCAACTCCTGCTCCTCCTCCTCTTGTTCCCCTCCTGCGTGGGGCAGTGGGGCCGAGGAAGCACCCTGGCCAGGCGCGACGGGTGACAAGCGTGCTCGAGAGGCGGCTGCGGCTGACGGACAGAGCGGAAGGACGCTGATAGGAAGGATGCGGAGAGGGACGAGGAGCACGAGGCGGAGGAGGACCCCCGCATGACGGTTGGGAGAGAGAGAGAGAGAGGAAAGGAGAGGAAGCAGAAGGAGAGGACCCTGCCGGGATCCCAGTGGCGAAGAAGCCGAGGACCTTCCCAATAGGGCCAGGCACCAATCAGCTGGCCTCTTGCCGGAGGCTGCATTCAGGGCACACTCGTGGCAGCTTTGGCCGAGACCTCCTCAACACAAAATGCAGCTACGGTTAAGTCGAGCATGTCCCCCTACAGGCGGCTTTTGGACGAAACATTTAAAATACCGCATACATGTGCGAACATGGTCAAAACTATGTTTCATTACTTTTGGGCTATATCTTAATATTCCTCCTGTAGAAGGACAGGCCCGACTTAAAGCTACGGCCTGCGGACAAATGCCTCTGGCCGTTCGGATCGCGTCGACCCGTCCGCGGCCCAGCATGGGAGCACTGGCCTCCTCCCCCTCCCCCCTGACATGGCCCTCCCCCATCCTCGTGTTCATTATCATCACCATTACTCCTCCTCATCCTGATCATTCTCCTCCTCCTCCTCCTCCTCCTCCTCCTCCTCCTCCCATCCTCATGTTCACCATCATTCCTCCTCCTCCTTCTCATTTCCCCCTCTCTTCATCCTCACACCTGATCCTTTTCCTCGACCTCCTCGTCCTCCTCGTCCTCCTCCTGCTCCTAATCCTGCTCCTCTTCCTCCCCCTCCACCTCCTCGTCGTCGTCCCTCCTCCTCCTCCTCCTCATCCTCCTCCTCCATCAACCCATCCCGGATATCCCCCTCCTCCCCTCTTCATCCCTCCTGCGTCCCCCTCTGGCGAGTGCATGTGTTAATCCCGATTGCTTCGCGAATTTCTCGCGCACTTCAGTCGCTCATTTGGTTACATCAACTGCTCGTGGACGACCCAGGCTCTTTGCGTAGCTATGGCAGGATCAAAACTGACTTGCCTCATCAATCCCGGTCCCCCCAAACCCTCGCGTCCTCCTCGTCCTTCTCAGCCGCCCTTCTTCTCTCCGTTGTCCTCACCGTCGTCGGCCTTCTCCCCCTTCTCCTCTGCACTCCTCTTCATCCTCGTCCTCCTCATTTGATCCTCCTCTTCCCGTCTCTTCCTCTCTCCTCTGTCCCGTTCTCCTCGTCGTCCGCCGGTTCCCCATCCTCCTCCTCGCCCTCCTCATCCTCCGCCCTCCCTCCACGGAGGATCTGGAGGATCTGGGGGAGCGGGGCGGGGTCATGGGGTATCCTCAATCAAAGTCGTTGAGTGCCCCTGGCGTCCTCCCGGCTGGCCTGTAGGAGCTGCCTCGGGAGGCTCCTGGCGGTCATGGGGAACCGACACCGCACCCCCCAGCGTATCAATACTCCTGAAGAGAAACGTGACGGAAGTGGGTAAACATCTTTGGAACCTCCTGGCCGCGGGCCCGTCTTCTTCTCGCAGCTGCGCCCCCCTCCCTCCCCCGGCCAAGTGTTGCGTCGAACCCCCTGGTGCGGCAGCGGCCCCGTCTAGAGCCAACATTCAACGAACATGAGTCCGAAAATAAGGGCCCGCGTGCGTTTAGCGCTTCCGAACCGACCTCTCCAAACAAAAAGAGACACTTGCTGAATCGATCCGTCATGCTTTTCTTCACGAGGGTTGTACGGCAAGAGTGATCCTCTGGTGAGCGGCTCAAAAGCGGGCCACCAGGGAGGCCGCATCAAGCAGTCCGAGCACGCCAGCCGATGCTGGTGGGACGCGCGTGTGGGGGCCGCACCAGGGGCCCCTCCAGCGAATGGTCACTCTCACGCGTATACTCGGGGCTGATTGGAGTGGACACGCGAGAGGACACAAGACCCTTTTGAGGGCCATGTTGCCACAGGAATGTAGACGGCATGGGTCGCGAAACCACAGGACACCAGGGTGCCCTTGACTTGGCAGGGCCGACCTACGTGTCAGACTCGACTGTAGCCGAAGAAGGGCACGAGGCAAACGTCAGCACGCAGGGCAGCACAACCGCCTCTATCAAGAGGCTGGCGAGACTCCTGCCCCAGATGCCCCGGGGTGCTGGGGAGAGCGCCTGGAACCGCCGAGCCCGCTTTCAGCGGCTCCTGTAGGGAGCCCAGGCCGGCCAACTCGCCATTCTTACGCCTGCCTGGGAAGGCGGTGCCCGGGACTCACTGAGCTTCTTTCAGCTTTACCATCACGACCTTTGCGCGACTCTGCACACGCACTATCTCCTCTCGAAGCTGGCGGCTCACGTCCACCAGCTTGTCGCGGCACTGGTCCTCCGATGTCACGGCGGGGGGGTCGTTCGTGCTGAAGCCAGCGAGGAGCACGGCGACGACGACGTTGATCAGCACAAAGGAGCAGATGACGACGAAGGAGACAAAGAAGACTGCCGCCCCTATGAGATTGAGCTGATCTTCGGGATCTGTGGAGGTGCCATACCGATAGAGGATCGGCCGCACTGCTGCCTCGGACCAGGACTCGCCGGTCAAGATCTGGAACATCGTGTACGTGGCGCGCCCCGTGTCGCCGTAGTAGTCTTTCCCGAAGCAGAGCCCCCGGCTGGTCCTGAACTCCTCCATGTTCTTGTACGGCGCCTTGTCCTCCTCGCAGTAGAGGCCACAGTACTGATCCACCGCGATGACCGCGTAGATGAGCATCACCATCATGATAATTCCCAGCGCCTGGGCCACGCCTCCTGCACCTGATGACAACGAATTTATGATTTTGCTCAATGCTTCAATCTTGCCGAAAATGCGGAGGGCCCGGAGGAGACGAAACACGCGGATCGTCCTCAGCATCGTCACGACGTCAATCCCCGGTAGTTCCACCTGCATCAGCTCCAGACACCCCCCCGTGACGACAAGCATATCAAACCAGTTCCCTGGTGACTTCATCCATGAGTTCATCCACTCTGAATACATGTGGAATACCACTTCTACGAGAAATACAACGTTGAAGAAATTATTCACGCGGCCCCAATCGGCCTCGGTCATGTGCCAGCCAGGGTCTTGCGCCCCTTCCGGGACAGGTTGAAACGGTGGCGTACGCTGGACGCACTCGAGGACGAAGTTGCCCATGATGGCCGAAAACACGATCATGGTCACGATAGGGCCCTCGTAGAGTCTGTGGGTTTCTAGCTGGTACGACCAGAGGTAGGCTGGACCGAAGCTGGGATTCGCCATGTGCTTCACGATGTCATCCTCGCACCTCGTGGCGGCGCGCAGGAGTAATGAGGCAGGGCGATAGGTACCCCCCGCATCTTCGAAGACGCTCTTGGACCCTTGGAAGTGTCACGGGGAGTCTGGTTTATGTGAAGGGGCAGGGCCCTTCGAAGAAACTCCATCCCTTCTTACATCCCGCCGATCTTGCCAAAATCCAAAAGGATGGTCCCTGGACCCCTCTCGGCGTCCATCTAAGTCAATGTTTCGAGCTTCATCCAGCCGTGGCCACTGGGTGTCCCCAGAAGGTTGTAAAGGGGCGAGCACCGTCAGAACCCACCCTCGTATAACTCAAGGCTCAGGATGGCAGCCATCTCTGAGGTCTCCGGAATTCTGTTGAGGCCTCCAAGCGTCTCGGGTTTTGAAGCACCGGTGCTGTCACCCTGGATGATTCTTGTATGCTTGCGTGATCGAGCCACTCTCTGTGCTAAGGACTGGCCGCATTTCGCTCAAGACATTTCAGTACTGCCGTGGAGTGCGCCAGCAATGATAAGTGTTTGTATGTGGTTGGCACGGCCGAGCTGCCGACGTGGGCTGCGCGAAGTGGGCCGCGCAGCTTGCGGAGCTGCGAGCGGCGCCGGGTGGACGAGCGCTGGGCGAACGCCCAGGGCCGGCTCTGACGCTGGATGCGGGGCGGCGGCAGCCACGACGCCGTCCTCGTGCCCGACGCGGCCCTGGCCGAGGGCGCGTTTCCCAACCCCCACCCCGCGCGAGCGATCTCCTGGCTGCTTGTGCTGCACGGGTGGGCCCGCAGCCCGTGGGCGAAGAGCATGCCCGTGCCCACGGCCTCGCGGGCTGGGCCCCTGAGCCGCGACCCCGCGGAGGCGGGGTGTTTGTTCACGGATGCCCGCGCGGAACGTACCCGTGCGGCCGCGTATCCGCAGGGTCGCGCCCAGACCGCGAGGGCGTGGATGCACGTTCGCCGCTCGTGAGCAGCGGCGCTGCGCTGCCTCGAGGGGCTGCCCGGGCCGTGGAGGGCGACCTGGACAGCGGAGCGTGGCGCACCCGCTTGGCGAGAAGATGCGGGCGCTGGACGGCCTTCCCGGCACAAGTCTCGGCCAAGCTCGCCGGTGAGCTCTTCCGGAGCTGGGACAATACCGCAGCGTCAGCAAACTGGGGGCTGGACTGATGGATGGTGAGCGAACTGCGGCTTCTCGCCGGGCTGTCCGACGAGGCGGAGGCTCGGGCTCGCTGCTGAGGGTGCGGGCAAAGTTCGTATCCATATCCACTGTGCGGGCGAGGGTGCGGGCGGAGTTTCGGGTGCAAGATTCATATCCGTATCCACTGTGGGGATTCGCTGCAAGGGTGCGGGCAAGGGTGCGGTGGAGTTTCGGCCTCCCTTCCCCGGACAACAGTGGCGCAGTGGATATGGACAGACATCTTGCGCCCAGAGGCTAATCCCACCAGCCCTCTGGGCGTCGGTGGTTTAGAGCGTTTCCTCTTCCACCCCTCCTTCTTCCCCTTCGGGGAGGGGTTTACCCCTCCCCCCACCCCCTCCCCACTGACCTGGACAGGGGGTTCCGCGGCACGCTGGAGCGCCCAAGATCGACCCCTGGGAAGGCTAAAATTCGACACCCCTCACGAGGATCGTGGCTCCTGGGGGGGGACTCTAATTAAGGAACCCCTCTTCTTTGATCGATTTCCTCCACGATGGCCGCAAGAGGCCCCCAGGATGCCCCAAGAGGCCGCAGGATGGCCCCAAGATGACCCCAAGAGGCCCCCCAAGAGGCCCCCAGGAGGCCCCCAAGAGACCCCCAAGAGGCCCCAAGAGACCCCCCAGAGGCACCCAAGGTGCTCCCAGAGGCCCCAAGATGGCCCCAAGAGGCCCCAAGAGGCCCCCAGGAGGCCCCAAAGAGGATCCCGAACGGCCCACAGAGGCCCCCCCGAGGCACCCAAGACGCCGAAAAGCCCCTCAGGACGACCCTCTACTCGCCTGGGCGTCGTTTCTGGACGGGCTGGTGGGGATACGCGAAGCGTCTAGAATTCTGTCAATACCCACTGCGCCTCGGATTTTTGGCGCCCCTTCCCAGAAAGTCGAAAACGCAGTGGATGTTCGAGGAACCGAAAACCACACAAACATAAACTGTTGGAGGTCCGCGCGGATTTCCTGGATCCACGCCGGACCCCCCTCCCTGGCGCGCTGAGCGCGCCAGTGGCGGCGCCGGAGGCGCCGCCACGGGGGCCCAGCGCGGATCCAAGAAATCCGCGCGGAGCGGCGACAGTTTATGTCTACGGCGCGTTGTCATCTTCGACATATGGACGTATGATGTTCCAACCTACTTTAGCCTGGAATGCCAGTGTTTTTTTTTTTTCTCTCGATGCTGCAGCGTCGCTGTACACAGGCGGTCCGTCTCCACTGCCGCCCAAAGGAAGTCACCAGCCAAGAGCGTGACAGGCCGGGCTCCGGGGCCCGATCGCCTCGGCCGCGCGCCTCCGCTCCAGCGCTCCCGGAGGCGCGAGGAAGTGGAACCGTGCGCCAGAAACTTGGAGCCTGTTTTTTTTGGATTCAGGCAAGTTTACTTGCATGGCGTTCGCCCCCCCCCCCCCTCGCCCCTCTTCAAGCGAACACTAGCGTGCAAGTGCCTCTCGACCTGCGTGATTTCCGCGCCCCCCCGAACGTCCAGGTCGTTTGCGGCTTGCTTCAGGCTCAGCCCCCCCCCCCCGTCCATGCAAGTAAACTTGCCAGAGTCTAAAAAAAACAAGCTCTAAGAGCCTCTTTGTGGTTCCCATGGGATGTTCTCAGCGCAGGTCTGGCGGAGCCCGTCCTGTCTCATCACGTCGGGATTATGTTCCAAGGACGATGTTTCTGTTCTTAGAACACTTGTGGGTTCTGAGAGCGTTTCGTGGTAGGACTGTAGGAATGCCGGGACGGCCGGTCCCTGCTCAAGAGGGGCTTTAAAAAAACAGGCTCTTGGGTCGGACCCCGGGGCTGGACCTAAACGTTGCTTTCGAGTGCCAGGAGGGTGCCGAAACGGGCGGGCTTTCGCGCGTGTCGGGCTCGGGGGAGGCGGCACTCGCCCGACACTGTGTTTTGATCCTTTTTTCCGGGTGCTCGAGCTGATTCTTTGGGGATGCGGTCTTTCATCCAGGGGCCCAAGGACACACACATAAATGCACACGAATCACGAGATTCCCCTATATCTTCTGGGCTTCTGTCTTCCCCCCCTCTTCCCATATTTTCCCATGTTTGCCTGGGAACCGACGATAAATGGTGTCTGCGTGCTGCTTCCCTCCCGAATGTAAGCACGATGGGAGCAGCATAGACGTGGACGCGTACCTTGCCCGCAGGAGGATCCGTCGGGTGGGCCGCCGCGCCCGACGCGAGAAGGGCGGCGGCCCCCGGCGGGGGCTGCCCCTGGGGGCTGGTCGAGGCGGAAAGGCTGCTGCTGCGCGCGCGGCGGAGGAAGCGGGCCTCTGCGAAGGGGCCCTGAGACACACAAATAAATACACAAATATTATCCCGGCAAAGCAACCTAACAGCGATGTGTAGGAGCATATCTGGAAGCATTCCCCTTAAGATTCAGATGAGAATCCAGTTGTAGAATTGTGCTGTTCTCGCAGTCGTAGTCGCATTCGCGATGACAGTCGCAGTGGCAACGGCAGTCACAGTCACAGCCTCAGCCTCAGCCTGCCTCAGCCTCAGCCTCAGCCTGCCTCAGCCTCAGCCTGCCTCAGCCTCAGCCTCAGCCTGCTTCAGCCTCAGCCTCAGTCTGCCTTCAGCCTCGGCGTCAGCCTCAGGCTGCCTCAGCCTCAGCCTGCATCAGCCTCAGCCTCAGCCTCAGCCTGCCTCAGCATCAGCCTGCCTCTCCTGCATCAAAAGCCCGGGAATGGAGTTCTGGGAACTCGAAGAACACGAAGTGGCCTACAGTTGGCTCCGGGCATTCAAAATCATGCCCAGGAATGGAGTTCTGGGAACTCGAAGACACGAAGTGGCCTACAGTTGGCTCCGGGCATTCAAAATCATGCCCAGGAATGGAGTTCTGGGAACTCGAAGACCACGAAGTGGCCTACAGTTGGCTCCGGGCATCCAAAATGTGGCCCGGGAATGGAGTTCTGGGAACTCGAAGAGCACGAAGTGGCCTACAGTTGGCTCCGGGCATCCAAAATGTGGCCCGGGAATGGAGTTCTGGGAAGTCGAAGAGCACGAAGTGGCCTACAGTTGGCTCCGGGCATTCAAAATGTGGCCCGGGAATGGAGTTCTGGGAAGTCGAAGAGCACGAAGTGGCCTACAGTTGGCTCCGGGCATTCAGAATGTGGCCCGGGAATGGAGTTCTGGGAGGTCGAAGAGCACGAAGTGTGTGACTGTTGGCTTAAAACGACTTCTGCGGCACCCTGTCCGGCACCCGCCCAGACCCCCCTGTGGAGTCATCTGCTGCTCTCTTTTGACCCTACTAGAAACCTATCAGAACAAGCTGTTAGGTAAAAATGATCCCCCATATCTTCCCATACTTTCTGGGTTTCTGTCTTCCCCCCCCACTTCCCATATTTTCCCATATTTTCTAGGGAATTGGGGGAATAATTGTGTCTGTGTGTTTTTTCTCCTCCTGACTCTGGGCCAGCTGGTCCATCTGGCAGCTGCCGGTGGCCAGCAATGAATGGACCCCTGGCCACGGCGCCGGCCTTGCAGACGTGAGCTGCGGACTTTTGCGTGGATTTCTCTGTCCGTGCAGAACCCCCACAACGGCGAGGGAAATAACGAAGTGATTTTCGCGTGGGTTTTGGTTGTGAGTCTTCTGGCCAAAACAAATCCGCACGAAATTCCTTCGAAATCCAAACCGGAATTCTCCAGAACACTCCGGGCCCATCCTATGGTTTTCCAAACAAGATCCGCTCTGTGATGCTGGCGTCATGACCCGTGGCCCTTTGTGGCGGACCCAAGTTGAGAGGCCCAAGCCGTCACGGGCATGGTAGGCCAGTCCACAAAAAAAAAAAAAAAAAACGCCAGAAACCCAATCCTGAGACTTCAGGATGTCCATGGATTTTTGGTGC